TAGACCCCATAGATCCCATAGAGCCCCACAGAGACCCATAGGGACCCATAGGGACCCATAGAGCCCCACAGAGACCCATAGGGACCCATAGACCCCATAGATCCCATAGAGACCCACAGATCCCATAGAGACCCCATACAGACCCATAGTGACCCACACATCCCATTGAGACCCATAGGGACCCACAGATCCCATAGAGACCACAGAGGGACCCATAGAAACCCCATAGAGACCCATAGGGACACATAGGGACCCACAGATCCCATAGAGACCCCATAGATCCCATACAGCCCCATAGAGACCCACAGAGACCCATAGGGACCCACAGATCCCATAGAGACCCACAGAGCCCCATAAAGACCCACAGGGACCCTTAGAGCCCCATAGAGACCCTATAAAGACCCACAGATCCCATAGAGCCCCATAGAGACTCACAGATCCCATAGAGACCCCATAGAGACCCCATAGAGCTCCATAGAGCCCCATAGAGACCCACAGAGACCCATAGGGACCCATAGAGACCCATAGGGACCCACAGATCCCATAGAGACCCATAGGGATCCCATACAGCCCCATAGGGACCCATAGAGCCCCATACAGACCCACAGGGCCCCATAGAGACCCATAGAGACCCATAGATCCCATAAAGACCCCATAGAGACCCATAGGGACCCATAGATCCCATAGAGACCCCATACAGACCCATAGGGACCCACAGAGACCCACAGATCCCATAGGGACCCATAGGGACCCACAGAGACCCATAGAGACCCATAGAGACCCGTAGATCCCATAGAGCCCCACAGGGACCCCATAGAGACCCACAGATCCCATAGAGAGCCCATAGAGAGCCCATAGAGCCCCATAGATCCCATAAAGACCCATAGAGAAGGATAGGGACCCATAGGGACACCAAAAAAACCCCACAGAGACCCATAAAGATCCATAGGGACCCATAGGGACCCATAGGAACCCATAAAACCCCATAGAGACCCATAGAGACCCACAGATCCCATAGAGCCCCATAGAGACCCCATAGGGACCCATAGATGCCATAGAGACCCATAGATCCCATAGGGACCCATAGAGACCCCATAGGCCCCATAGAGACCCATAGGAACACCAAAAAAACCCCATAGAGACCCATAAAGATCCATAGGGACACATAGGGACCCATAGGAACCCATAAAACCCCATAGAGACCCATAGGGACCCCATAGAGACCCACGGAGACCCACAGGGACCCATAGGGACACCAAAAAAAACCCATACAGACCCATAGAGACCCCATAGATTCAATAAAGACCCCATAGGGACCCATAGGAACCTCATAGACCCCATAAAGACCCACAGAGACCCATAGATCCCATAGAGACCCACAGATCCCATAGAGACCCATACCGACCCCATAGGGACCCATAGATCCCATAGAGACCCACAGATCCCATAGGGACCCATAGAGACCCATAGAGACCCACAGATCCCATAGGGACCCATAGAGCCCCATAGAGCCCCATAGGGACCCATAGAGCCCCAGAGAGACCCACAGATCCCATAGGGACCCATAGAGACCCATAGAGCCCCATAGGGACCCATAGAAACCCATAGAGACCCACAGATCCCATAGAACCCCATAGAGACCCATAGGGACCCATAGACCCCATAGAGACCCATAGAGACCCACAGATCCCATAGGGACCCATAGAGACCCATAGGGACCCATAGGGACCCATAGATCCCATAGAGACCCACAGATCCCATAGGGACCCATAGAGACTCACAGAGCCCCATAACCACCCCATAGTCACCCCACTCCTCTCCCAAACCGGATGTCCCCCCTTCCAACACCTCCGAAAACCGGAAGTCGTCCCATCCCCCCAACACACACACCGGAAGTCCCTCCCTCTCACACCCCCGAACAGGAAGTCGTCCCCATTCCCAACCCCAAAACCGGAAGTCCACCCTCCAACACCCTCAACCGGAAGTCGTCTCCACCCCCCAACCCCCAAACCGGAAGTCCCTCTTTCCCACTTCCCCAAACCGGAAATCGTCCCATCCCAAACCCACCAAACCGGAAGCCGTCTTCCCTCCCCCTCTTTTCCCAACCGGAAGTCCCTCCCCAAGGACGTACCGAGGCGCTGACGAGCCGCCCCCCGGCCGGATGCCAGCAGACATCGCGGACGCAGCCGCCGGGATGAGCCAACCTCCGCACGGTGGCGCCCGTCAGCACGTCGTACACTGCGGCCATGACGGAAGGAAGGGGGCGGGACCGGTGTTACCTCCAACTTCCGGCCGGAAACCACGCCCCCAACTTCCCCCTTCTTCATTCATTCCCCTCTCACTTCCACCCCGTAGGCAGAATGGGGGGGTTTTGGCCACGCCCACTTTGCCTCAGAGCCCAATGGGGCCGAGGCCTTTAAGCCACGCCTCCGGGCTCACTTCCGGTCAGAAGCCACGCCCCTTCATTCATTCGTTCCCGCCCACTTCCGGCCTGCCCGACCGATACGTAGAATGGGACTTTGGCCACGCCCCCTTTTCCCTCAGCTGACAAAAGGCCCAATGGGGTCGAGGCCTTTAGACCACGCCCCCTGGCTCACTTCCGGTCAGAAGCCACGCCCCTTCATTCATTAATTCATTCATCCATTGTTGCCCACTTCCGGCCTGCCCAACCCATACGGAAAATGGGGGCTTTGGCCACGCCTACTCTGTCTCAGAGCCACGCCCACTGACATAACGACCAATGGGATCGAGAGCTTTAAGCCACGCCCCCTGGATCACTTCCGTCCAGAAGCCACTCCCCCCAATTCATTCGTTCCCGTCCACTTCCGGCCTTCTTTAAGCCCCGCCCACCCCATGCAACTCAAAGGGACTTGAAGCCACGCCCCCTTCCTTAAGCCCCGCCCAACCGCATAGAACCCAATGAAGACTAAAGCCACG